CACCTTTCTCTGAAATGGGAACAAATATGGTGAAATATGGGAACAGTCAGTTGGCCAGGTGGTTGTCTTCTAGGTTTCTTGGCACAACTTGGTGCCCTTGTCCAGGGCAGAGTCTGTTGAAATATGTCAATTGGTATGCCTTCAATTCCTGGGGCAGTTTTTTCCCAATTCCTTCAGAGCAGCTTGAACTTTTTCCTTCCACCATAGTCTCTTGCTCATACATTGTTTCATGAAGTTCTTCTGTGTCAGCTAATTCATAGATAGAAATAATTTTGGGGGTTGACAGGTAGGGCGGGAGATGAGGAAGATGAAGTAGTAGAGTTTAATGAATGGATGGGTATGGTGAAGGGAGTAGGCAGGTACAGTAAGGTTTTGACAGGATGATGTAAATAATAGTATTATACAATTGTAATTAATGTTATAAAATAAAATATATAGGAGTGATTGAATGAATACAAATTAAAAAAATCCCAGCAACCAAATATTGAATGAGCGTTATCTATTTATAGAGGTTTTTAGTCAATTCCCCCTTATTTTAAAACTAAACTCTCAGTGGCAAAGAGCTGCAACTACAATCCCAGAGCCGCATGGTTCGAATCCACCAGATGCTCTGCTGGGGAAGGAGGGACGATCTCCATCTGTACCAGTCAGATCTGATTTGACGGTACACGCACACAAAAATAATAAAATTTAAAAAAAATTCTAAAAACAAAAAACGAAACCCTCTCAGACTGTGTTCTTTTCCCTTTCTCTTCTGATGCCCTGCACGTCATTATTTGATTCTATGTGCCCAGGATAGAGGATTAAAGCATTATTATTGCAAATGTTGGACAGGACCAAAACTTATAAAAGATTATGTTGTTGTTGTTGTTGTTATGTGCCGTCGAGTTGCTTGCGACTTATAGCGAAGCTGTGTACAACAGCCCTAAACTCTGCTCTGTCCTGTGCCAGTCGCACTGTCTCTGACACTCCCATCCCGATTATCCCAGTCACTGAATCAATCTACCTCATAGAGGGCCTTCCCCTCCTGCGCCGTCCCTCCACCCTCCCAAGCATGATGTCCCTCTCCAAGGACCGGTCTCTCCTCACAACATGTCCAAAGTATGTTAGACGGAGCCTCAGAATCCTTGCCTCCAAGGAGCCACCCGGTTTAACCCTTTCTAGGACGAATCTGTTTGTTTTCCTAGCTGTCCATGGTACTCTCAATACTCTTCTCCAGCACCACAGCTCAAAGGCGTCAATTCTCCTTCTGTCCTCCTTGGTCATTGTCCAACTCTCTTATGCATAACAAGTGATTGTGAAGACCATGTTTCTGACTCTACTGAACTAAAAAACGTATATTGCTTTTTCCCCTTCATCTAACTTATCTATTAATTTTTACTCCTTTTTTCCCTCTCTGCTCATCCTTCTTAACTCTCCAAGATTGAAAACTATCTGTGCATAACTCTTTCTTTAACTTTTTATATTCTGGATCTTATACCATATTTATCCTTTTCTGACTTCAGTTACTCAGTATAATCTGCTATGGATTCAGTCATGTTGTGTGGTATTTTATGAAGACTCCATAAACTTTATGAATCACTGATAGGTCAAGTTTTATTGCTTCCATTTTGCTCCAGTCTTTTTGGTGTTAGCTTTCTTTGTTCCATCTGCTTTCTGCTGCTGCGTTAATTTTGCTTATGGCGGCTGTTGTTTTGGTGTTTATCAAGTCTGTATACTTTTCCCTCTTTTTTTACTGTGATTAGGAATTTTATTAAGTTCTTGGAGGTAACCGTATAACTATTTTACTCTTCAAGTCTCAGAGAGTTTACTTGTGTCCTGTAATCCCTTCATTTTCTTTCCATTTTGAAGTTCTGTACTTACACTTCTTATTCCCTCCTTTTGTATTACTCTCCTTTGTATCAATTCTCCTTCTATCTTCCTTGGTCATTGTCCAACTCTCTGATGCATAACAAGTGATTGTGAAGACCATGGCCTGTATCAGACGCACCTTAGTCTCCAGAGAGACACCATTTCTCTTCAGTACTTTGGAGAGGTCCCTAACAGCAGACTTTCCCATGGCAATGCACCTTTTAGGATTCCATATAATCTTATATAAAGGTTTTTCTGTGACTTAAGCTTCTTGGTAGCCCTAAATAGAGAGACAGTACTGAATCATTGCAAAACCTTTATTGTTTAGAGATGTCTTAGTTATGTAGTGCTGATATAATAAATATGCTTCAAGTTGATGACTTTATTGAAGAGAAAGGCTCAAAGTCCAAATTCTGGATACCACTTTTATGAGATGCTTCCTTGCCTTATCAGTTCTGAATGAAAAATCTTGTTTCCTTCAACATCTCATGCCAGATGGTTCCTGGAGACCGCCATGTATCTTAACCTGCCTTGGTGTCAAGGAGCTTTCTCATGCAGGGGCCCATAAGCCGAAAGATGAACTCTACTCCTGCTCATTATTTCTTAATGGTCCTGAGGGTCTCATTTCACTGTCCTCCCTTTCTATTTCAAGTGAAGTTAAAGGCTATATCCTAGGGAAATTGCCTTTAGATCAAGTTAGGGCTGTGATGGCATTAAGAAGTATTAAATTCATGCACACTCATGTTTATTGTTGCCCATCAGCAAACGCATGAATAGAGAAGCTGTGGTATATACACACAATGGAATACTATGCAGCACTGAAAAACAAGGACCTCATGAAATAGTATATCAAAAGGGTGACCTTGGAGGACATTATACTGAGTGAAATATCTCAGTCACAAAAGGACAAATACTGAATAATGCCACTGTTATAAAACAGGACTGACATTGGGATTGAGGGGAAACTAAGAAAAGAGGGGATAAATGATGCACACACACTGCATTGAAACCTAAGGGAAAGAACTGCTTTAAAGGAATATATGATTAGGTATTATTTACATGACAACAGTCCAGAATAAGAGCTGTATAGTAAAGTGGACCTGGAGGGGGCCAGTGTGTATTGTACAACAATGGAAGATTTTTTTTTAAA